GGAAATTTGAAATACGGTTCGGTATTCTTTTTTTTAGTGATTTTCCCACTGTGATACAAACCAATTTATTGTTATTTAATTTGGTTTAAAGCATAACAAAAAGAAATAACAATTACTTAATCCACAATAAAGGGTATGAATGAATGAACCTAGAAAAACTCTTCCTAATATATATCAATTATCAAATTTGTAAAATATCTTTAAACCAGCAGATTACAAATAAAGGTCTAAACCCAACCGACTTAACAAAAAATGTCATAGGTTCATAAGGAACACACTTAAATTCAATAGCTAGGTTTGCTGCAATCTCATGAGAAAAATCCGGTGATTTTTTACATGTACCTAAAGATAACATTAGTATTTCTGAAATTTTCACTTCTTTTAATATTTTTGTTTTTATTCCAATATCATCATCATCAACCTTTTCATATTTAATGATATCAGGAAAATTATCTTCAGTCTCGGGCTTATTTTTATCTCTATCCGAATTTTCTTTACTAACATCATCCTTATAATAACGCTTATCTATGTTCTCCAAACTACATTTACTTTTGTCAGTATAATAGCATCTAAAAAAAGCCTCCACACCTTTATATAAATCTTTAACCAACGGTTTTTTCAAACTATTAATTGGTAAAAATTCGATCATAAACTTTGTAGTATATTTATCTGGCTTTGGAATAGTCCTCAACTCCATTTGAATTTCGTATTCTGTTATAACTTCAGAATGATCGTAACATCGTAGAGTTAATGTAGTATCGATCGGATATAATTTGGTGAAAATATTGATTATACGTGTAAAAAGGATTTGGTCAATCACTTTTGACCAAGTTTTACAAACTAAACGAAGGTGTGGAATATCTGAGAAGTAATAGATATGAAAAAGAATCTCCTTTATAAGTGGGATGGGTAGAGTCGAGAATGGAGAAGACTGAGTAGTAGATGATCTATGAAGAATTATATATATTATTCAATGAAATATTATACTCAGCATAAAGAAATATCTACATTTTAACAAGCTTAATTATTTTCATTTTAATTCTGAACTTCTGATATTTTTTCAAATAATGAGAATGTGGACTTTTCTTGAACTGTGCTAACTGTATATTTATAAATATTAATCATTGAAACCGTCTTTTATAAATAAAGAACCTTTAATCCGTAATTAAGACATTAAGAAAACAAATATTTGCAAATTCTGTCTTATATTTCTAATTAGGTTTTATTCAACAAATTACGTTATTCGTTGCACAACTTTGTACTTACGTAACTGCATGAGATGTTAACTAAGTTTAAAATAAAAAAAAATTATTCACAAATTTTTGATTTAATTAAATTAAAAATTTTTAATTTGTATTAAAAATATTAAAAATAGTTTTTTTTTTCAATATTTTGCTTATAAAACTCATGAAAATCTAAAAATCTAAAAATATGGTGATTTCGATCCAGCATGAAAATTCACTACGTATCGCTATCACAGCTCGCTCGCTTGCTATCACGAATAAACTTTGTTTTTTTTTCGTTTTCCAACTTGTAAAAATGTATGTAAATTTGATCACATTTAGGCTGCTGTCAATAGAAGCTGACAGATTTTTACAGATTTTATTTCTTGGACGAATTTCTTTTTTATTAATTATATAATTATAGGTCAGAGTATTGGATATCACAGCAAAAACATTGGTGTCAATATTGTCGCATTTATATTGCAGACAATAAACCTGTAAGATATTTATTTATCTTTTAGTTGTGTCTATTATTTAGGTTTTCTCTTATGAAATTATATACTTTTTTTTTTTTTTTTTTTTTTTTAAGAGTCGAACAATGCATGAGCAAGGTAAAAAACATAAAG